ATATATATATATATATATATATATATATATATACACATATACACACACACACACACACCTATACTAACAATCATGGAAAATTCATGTAATTCCATTGGTCAAATTGTGTGTGAACCCTGAGTATAAGTACATCATAAAATCTCCACTATCTTTATAGTTGAGTTTCAACCACATTTTTCTAGCACTTTTTATGTCTAATTTCAGATATGGTGTATTATTGGCCCAGAGACCTGCACACCAGTCTTGTAAAGAGCAAGTAGTGACTTTACTGGAGACTACAGGAGCAGAGGAAGGCCAGTACCAACTAGGACTCACTAAAGTACAGTAACATAACTCTTTACCACAGCCTGGGTTATTTTGACTCATTCATTTACTACATTAACACTAAAGATCCCATCCTCTAATGATTTCCTTTAATGTGAACACACGCAGGTGTTTATGAAGGAGAGTCTGTATCAGCGGGTGGAGGAAAAAGGGAGTAGCACCCAAACATGGGCAGCAGTCACCATCCAGAGGAACATTCGCGGCTTCATCTGCCGGAGAAACTTTCGTTTCTTTAAACAGAAGGCTATCGTCATTCAGTCCCACATCAGGGGCCACCAGGCTCGGTATGTGCAGCGATTTCATATTTGATAAACCTTGAGAGCTTGATAAAAACAGAAGAAAATCGAATGAGATTCTGAATGTGAAGCGGTGGCGCACTCTTTCTATTACAGGAAGTACTACAAGAAATTAAAGCAGTCCTTCACTCAGTTCTGGGCAGCTATGATGATCACCAGAGACACCATCAAGAAACGTCACTGGAGGGTGAGAGCTTTTATTTCTCCCCTTATATCTAGCTCTTTCAATCCTTTGCCCCGTGTGCCTGTGGCTTCTTCTTGGCTTAATTTGCATATATATAAATTCACACACTTCACTATATCAGCTGTTTACCTATATGGTCCATTGCTAGGTAACTAAGGCCACGTTATTAATATGTGAAAGCTAATACGAAGCAATAAATTCCAGCCTCACTCCTCCCATTATAAATAATGAATTTTTATAGTAATCATTATATTAATTCATGCCAAACGCTTTTATATTTTATCTAGTGCAATGACAGTCAAATACATTTTCAAGTTAGTCATACAAGCCGCTGAATATTGATTACTGTTTCCTTACATTACATGTAAGGTCATAGTGTGAACTTGCATCAGAGATCAAGAGACTTATAATATATTTTACTCTTTGGAAGGACTTTGGGCCGTTTGTGTGCTGAGTGAATTCATGAGATTGTGAAATTCAATCTATGGCTCTAAAAAATGGCACCCATTGTTTCCTATTACTCAACCTCTATAAGAAAACGAAATACAATTTCATTTCAAATTAAATAAAAAGCATGGTGGTTTTCATAAGAATGTTTTTTTTTTATCAATTTCTTGTAAAAACAACAAAAACAATAAAATAAATACATTTTAATGCAGTTATGTTTATTCTCTGATTCATGTGGCGTGTTTGGTCTCTCTAGTGCGTCATGGGCTGTTTAAGAGTGTGTACACATGTAAGAAATGTCAGAGTTAGGTGAGGTGAGCTCCACCTGCCCGCCTGCCTGCCCTTTCACTCTCATTCCTGCAAAGACCCACCTAAGCACCACTTCTTTTGTGTTTGGATTTCAACTCATTTCATCAGTTAAAGAGCACTTTTCATGGGGACGGCTACGTTTGTTTTAATATCATCCTAGGTAGGTAATGTTTAATATTTATCCATATTACACATGCTAGTAGCAAACAGACAGATTAATGATACAGAGAGAAATTAGGGCGGAAAATAAGAAATAGATTATATCAGTTATGTAAGACTTTAAGATTTGTTTAATGCAGTGTATGCAATGTGTTGGAAAAAGCTTTTAAATTCTAAAAGGTTCTGGCTTTTTTGGGGGGGGGATTTTACACTACCAGTCAAAAATGTCATACTTTAAAAAAGTTATACTTGTAATGATATACTTACACATTCTTTATTATTGCTGTTTTCAATATTGTAGAATAATATTAAAGTTTTTTAAAGTATTATATAACACAAATGGAAATATGGGAATCATGTTAAAATGTTTTCGAGATTCCTCAAAATCTATATCTCCACACTCTGGACGCTCTCTCAGCCTTCATGAGGTGCATCATGGGATGATTTTAAATGGTTCCCTTGTATGCCCTAGTAAAAAAGTAATATCTCAAATACATTTATTTCATACTTAGTATAGTTCAAATCTATTAACATATTTACTGACATATCTTAAAAGTAGGCCATCATCTGTCAGTGCTATTATTGAATGTTTGATCGGTTTCCATCTATATAATGACTATGAAATTCGAGCCGTTCCTGCATTAAAGGTTGTTCATGGCACATTGTTCTGAGGTTACTCAACTACACTTTAATGGGATATGTTTAAATGCTCATTGTATTGATGATCACATCTATTGCTTTTTTTGCTGTATAATATTATATTATAATATTATTACTATTTAAAATGTCTACTTAATACATAATGCAGTTGCATCTATAATCTCATCTTTTGCCACAATAACACAAGGAAATTTGATTGATAATATTAAGTACTATTACAATTCACGAAACTATTCAATTACCTCTGTACCTGTTTAAATGACCACATCCATACATTTATAGCATATGTGTTCGTTTATGTTTATTTGGTTTTTTTCTCTCCTTTTCTTTTCCGGTATGTGTGTATATATCTGTCACTGCTCTCAGCTGTTGTGTAGGTCATTACATCAAGCTGTTGCTGTTAATCTGTTTCATTCTGCTCAATAATAATAATAATAATAATAAACATATTTACTGACAGATAACTCGAGATTTACTGATATAAAAATTATAATTAAACTTTATTTGGAGTACTACTTGTACACAATGCACATTTCTTAATATTAAGTCTAAAATGTGTTTTAATGTCACTTTTGATGAGGATTGTATGATTTTTGAATAATATTGGTCTTTAAATGCAAAATATTTCAAGTGTACCTGAAGTATACTTGCAATAGTTCCACTTTAGCACTATCAAATATACTAAGTGTATCTTTAATTGGACTTCAGCACTACTTTTGCACAATTAAAGTGCATTAAGTACAAAATTAGTTGTTCCAATTTAGCAGACTTTAAGTATACCAGTTTACTATACTAAAAGTGCAATTGCAGGGTATTTTATTAAGTACATAAATATGTAAATGTGTATGTAGTATACTTGGCATGAAATAAATGTATTTCAAATACATTTAAGTATGTTTATTTTTCTGGACATTTAATGACTGCTTTTCCCTCAGGTCTGTTAAAAAGAATATGAATAAAAATGTTAGTTTTGTAAACAAATTCATTCAAATACAAATTATATATTTATATTTATCAGAAACTTAATCAGTCTAAACCTTTGACTGGTAGTGAGTTATATTTAAATGATCCACTAAGTTATATAACCTGCTGCTTTCAGTTCTGTTTCCTTGTTACCCCTCATTGTTTTATACAGTTTGGACTATGTCCTCACTCTGCTGTCAAATCACTTTGTAGTAATTGTTATGCATTTGTGGTAAGACTGGTTTGTGATGTGATTCTCATTCAGTGGGTTTAACAGCTTTGTGTATATTTTGCATGATAGTATTTTTGCTTGTCCAATAAAAGTTAAATTGTTTAATATAAAAATAGTTCACTGGAACAGGCAAACACCAGGTATCTGGTGGCCATACTCCAGAATACTCTCAGATTTGTTTCTACAGTATGTAAAAATCAATAGGCTTATTTTCTGCACACTGTTTTCTGGCAAAAGAAAAGGCCAATCAAACACAATGATAATACTAAATGATAAGATAAAAAAGGGGTTTGGTGACTCAAATTTCATGTAATTCTTTTGTTTGGGGAGGAGCGAGTCAAGGGAGGGTCTTCCTAGGATATAAAAGAAGGCCAGCTGCTAAGAATAGTCCTGTTTACCTTTGTATACGATGCCGTGGGCAGGTAATAGAATAAATTAGTGGAAAAGCTTTACAAAATAAATGTCCAATGGTTCAGTCAAGAAGGAATGAAACACTACAATATGCAAATGGATTTTTTTTAACGTTAGATTGTGTTTTTGATTGTATTTTGATTTGATCAGGAACATACTGATAGAACAAGAGTGAAGCAAGCAGCAAAACCTACATCTGCCTCTTCAGAGATGGTGAGACACTCTGAATCTTTTCATGTTTATAGATTTTTTTTATTTTCTTTTGTTTTGACTTGTGTGCTCAAGGTCTCTGAGCATCTGATTTGTATGGACTTGGACATAATTTAACCGGTTACTTCAGAGTTAAACGTTAATTTTGAACAAGACAAAAGAATGAAATACTATATTTTACCTGAAGGATGTGGGAATGTTGGAGATCCCGGCAGACCTGTCGGCCAGATTACGCAGTGCAGCAGGTGAGTTTCTTGATACTTGATAACCAATTAAAAGTACTGAGATTATACTTTAAACTGAAATATAAGTACTGTGTAATTTTACTCAATTAAAAATCTAAGTAATAGGTCAAACACACTTGAGTGCAAGTACTATAAAAGGGTTTCCATATTTATTTGTAAAAGTGCTTAAAAGTGAAATGTGAACTTTTTTCTTAGCTTTTCAAAATTGACATAAAATCAAGAGACGGTGGACATTTTTTTTTTGTCATCAAAGTAACTTTGATGAACAGCAACCTGTTCACAATTATTTTTTCAATGGTTTGGCCATGTGAAACTTAAACTGAATTCAAGATCTTCAACGGTGTTTTTAATTCAGCAGCAGCTGATTTTGTTTAAATTTGACAAAACTCTACAGTTAAAAAAAGTCTGTAATGCTCATCAAAGCTGCTTTTATTTAATCAAAACTACAGTAAAAACAGGAATATTGTGAAATATTATTGCAGTTTAAAATAACTCTGGATTCTTTGATGGGTATAAGCATCTTTTGTAACTGTCAATTTTGATTAATTTAATGTATCTTTGCTGAATAAAAGTATTCAGTTTTAGAATGATTGACATCGTTCACATTCAAATGAAGTTTACGCAGCACGATACGCAACGCGTAAAAAGACAGTATAAGTCATTATGATCAGTAATTATGTCCCCCTGGATGCAACAAATGCCTCATTTGTAATGGGTTTTATTGGAATTGTCTCGTCCTGTTGGGAGATGGCATCACAGTATGGTAAGGGTCGTAACATTTCCGTCACACGCTTGAGGCATTCGGCCAATCACAACGTACTGGATAGCTGGCCAATCAGAGCACACCTCGCTTTTTCAGACCGATGAGCTTTGTAAAAATCGACGTGTTTCAGAAAGGCGGGGCATAGAGGAGAAACAATAATGTACAGTATATGGAAAATATTGTGTTTTTTTTACCTTAAACCGCATAAACACATTGCATTACACCAAATAATGTTCTTTTTAGCAACGTCATATGACCATAATATGAAGTAATTGTATTGCTTTGGGTAAAAACTTTGCCCATATTTGTATTCACATTTACAATGATGGCTTTCAGGACGTCCTCAAGGGTCAGGAGTAACAGAAGTAGCTCTGCCACAGGTCAAAGCAGACCACAACCTCTCATTGCCCCAAGACATTGACAGACACCCTTTCTCCCAATATGCCAAAACAGTCCTGAAGGTAGAACTTAAAAAACGTCCTACCTAGTTTTGTGGTCTTCCGCTTCACAAGCAATTTCCATACCTGTGAATCAATTTCATCCATTTTTACAGCAGTTATCTGTTTTCCTTTCCATTAGGATGGATGGTGCCACCCGCAGGGTTTTCCGCTTCAGAAGCCTCTGACGTCTCTGGATCCTGATGATGCCCGCACAGCTCTAGAAATCTACAAACTGGTCAGTACAGAACCTAAAAACATAGTGACGTGTTTTGCGTAAATATTTTACCACAGAAATTCGAGAATTTTTTTTTTAAAATACTGAAATGTTGGGTATGAAATCTTGGATTTTGAATTAATCCTTTCTCATCTCCTTTAGATCCTGCGTTTCACAGGTGACTCTGATCTGACAGGATGGCAAGAACAGATCTTAGGGAACTATATTGTGGAGAAGAGCCAATTACGGCCCAGCATCAGAGATGAGATTCTAGCACAACTGGTGTACCGCACTTGGGACGGGGATAATGAAGAGAGTGCCCTGCGGGGCTGGTTGCTCCTGGCCTGCTGTCTGAGTGCCTTCACACCCTCTCCTGCTTTGGAGAAACCCCTGCTCAAGTATGTCTTTAGTTATAGTATTACAAACTTAAAAGAGGGGTCTTTAGAACAGGAAGAGAGTGGACTGATATAACATTGCCATTGGTCGATTATTCAATTTTTTATTTTCTAAATAAACTATACAGATTATTAAATTGCATATTGATCAATAGATAAATAAGGCCGGACAGAAGTTAGTGTTTCTGTACAGCTATTGGTTATCTTCAGAATTAAAAAAAATATTTATTATGATTGTCAGGTATGTGTCTGACCGAGGTCCAGGGGAGTATCGCTCTCTGTGCCAGCACAAGCTCCTCACATCCCTCCAGCTCCCCTCCCCTGCCTGCAGACGACACCCTCCGAATCAACTCGAGTGGACAGCCAATCAGAGAAAAGGAAAGATGGTGGTGGAGGTTAACACTTTCAATGGTGAGGGCTGTAGCTTTCTTAGAAAACTGAGCTGATGAGCTGTACCTGATTATCAGCAAAAAATATTGGATTCCCAGTTTCACTGTTCATTCCAAGAGAAACAATTATTCTTAATATGTTGGAGTATAAATGTTTTATTAAAGTATGGTGTTTATTTGATGTTGAACTTTTTTTATTTTTCAGAGGAAAGGTTAACTGTGGAGGTGGAGTCTTGGACCACAGGAGAACAATTGACCTCTTGGCTTCTTAGCTACAGGTAGCTAATAGATAAATATGTCTGTTTTTGTGGATGAATCTTGCAAAAAAAAATCATCCAGGTTATATTTATCTTCAAATATTTTTTACATGAAAAAAATCTTCATTTCTATAATGCAACAAAATGATATGTATGTGTGTATGTATTTATTTATTTAAAATAGCATTAATAAAAGTTCCTTTCTAGCTTTCTAGGTTATTTTGTGACATATTTGACCCCAAAATCTTGAGGTCAAAACAAAAAATTTTGTTGACATTTGAATATACACTACTGTTCAAAAGTTTGGGATTAGTAAGATTGTTTAATATTTAATATCATTAAGTTAACTAAATTATAATGTACTTTAAAAATGTTATATGTTTAATAATTACTATAAACTTACATGTAATTATATACTAAATAATTATTTATTTGGTAAATTGTCATTTAAATCAATTGAACGAATATACATTTAAATGAAGTGCAATATTTAATAGTAATTTATTTTATTTTAAAATTGCAATATATACAACAGAATTATTTAATATGTAATTAATTTAGTTGTTTAGTTCTAATACTTCTTAATGTCATGTTTTTTTTTTTCTCTCAGGGGTCTGAAAGAAGCTACACGGGGCTGGTCTGTGTCTCTGCTGGCTGGGGAGGGCTGGACCGACCTGGCTGGCTGTGATTTTGTAATGGATCTCTTGGCTGGAGTTGAGGCTGATGTGCCTCTGGGTCACCCACCCACTCAAACCGATTACCTCTTTAGCAACACAGGCAACAGGTATGCCTCTATATAGCTCAGTGCTGACAGTTCATTCAAAAGGAAACTGTGAAATTACTGCTTAAGTCCTTCTTTTTTTAATCCATTATGTCTTTTTTTCAGTATGGTAACCACCGACCTGGATGACTTTATACCACCTGCTCCCTCTATGCAAGCCCCTGGTTTCCCCTCCTCTGAAGCATCCCCATGGGACACCTATGAACCCTCTTCCACATCCCAGGGTGAGTGTCCAACCATTACTAGGAAACAGACAGTAAAGATGAGTCATGATCTGTTGCATAGCTTTGCAGAGGGATATTAAAAGAAATCAAAGTGAATGAAAGCTACAGTATGAGGGTTGGGAAGCGGCTCACCCTGTAGAGTAAATAAAATGATGGTTTCACTCTGACTTTATAAAGGACTCTCCTGAAACAATCTTTCTTTCAGGAACTCGAGGTCGACAGATGGATGCTTATGTTGATGACCTCTTTGATTCTGTGTTTGATCAGGGTCCTCCGGTCAGTATCATCCAGTTCAAATATATAAACATTATTGTACAGTTTATAGTCTAACTGGCAGCTACTTTAAATTCACCATTAATAATAAAGTCATTATTTTACAGCAACATATCTGTTTAGAGCAATATATCTGTTGATTTTTAGTGAATTATAAATGAAAAGTGTGCTTGTGCTGTCTTTCTTTAAATTAAATGCTACTGTAGATTTTTTTTATATTTATACATTTATTTTAATATATTGTTTTACATTTATAGAGATGGAACACGAGTCATCACTCAAACTCATGTCATCTGCAAGAGCAGCACAGCTCAACATGTCAGAGCACATGTGCTTATCACTAGGCTACACAGATATACTGTTAACATTTATTAAGCCAGCAAAGATTGCATAGCTTTGGCACTTATTAACTCTGAGATCTACTTGTATTGCCTTTTATCTCTGAGGACTGGCCTGAGGTCTTACTATCTGCATTTTTATTTGCTTTTTATTGATAGGACTTTGAACGAATGGCCATGCTGAATCGTAGAATGAGAGGAGGTGGCGGTATGATGCCCAGCATGTACACCGGAGCAGGTACAGTTTGTATCTGTTTAATTTGTGTTAGTGATCGATCGATAGTGATCCAGATATTTAGAGAGCAGTGAAGCCAATATAATGCTGATAAAAATGATACAATTTGATGGTAACAAATAAGATTGCTGAATTTAAACACTTTATTTACACAATATTTATTAATTTATCCATTTAGAAGACTTGTTTATCCAAAGCAATTTACAAATGAGGAATATCACAAGCAATTTTTAATAGAGCCAACAATGCTCATAGTATACAATGACAGTTTTAGTAGAACAATTTAAATTAAAAATAAATATATGAATGATTATATATAATATAATTTAGTTTACATTTTAGTTAATGTAATTTATTTACATTTTAACATCTAATCGTTTCAATATTAATTATTGTTTTATTTAGTTTAATTTTTTTATTTAATTTTAATATTTAAAATAAGACCTGACATTTATTTTGGACCTGACATTAGAATTTATTTTGTAACTGGACTGTCTACTCCCCTTATCAATTAGGAATGCCAATGAATCCTGCCATGGCTGGCTATGCTTCCACACCAATGATGCCAAACATGATGCCTACTATGCCCATGATGCAACCCATGCAACGTAAGCATCCTGCTGATGTTGTGCTTCTCTGATAGCATAAACTGTTAAATTCTTACCCTCTTCCTACTGCTTGTTTCGGATGTAGCTATGATGATGCCAACTGCGATGCCACAAGCCATGCCTGCTGCAACTCCGGCTGTCAACTCACAGCAAATGGCTGCTCAGCAGCAGGCCTTTATCAATCAACAGGCTCTGCTTCTGGTGAGTAAAGCTTCTGGTATAACATTATTATGTTCTTACGTTTGTAACATGAGTTCATTCAATGTAAAGTAGACAGATAAATCTATTTTTCCCTATAGGCTCAGCAGATGACAATGCAGGCGATGACACTGTCCCAGAAGCAGCAGCAGGAAGAAATGCGAAAACGCGAGAAAGAGTCAAAGAGACAGTCACCACGTCAGCGGCGGCGCTCTCCTCCACGTGCACGTTCA